TATGCAGTTATTAAGGACAAAGAAGAAAGGATAAATGTCATTTTAATTAAATCTGCAGATGGAAATAAATGGGGAAGTTCTACTAGTAATTGTGTGACTGTGTCTTTACAGAGTCCAAAAGAGTTTCCTCTTTGGGAAGCGTGAGCTAATACACCCAGAGAGGAGTGATTAGGAACAGGGATATTTATACTAGATGGGAAATGCTGGGAAGCTGAGATTTTATATCAATACCCAGAGGCGAGATGTGGGCAGCTGATGATGTGCAAAAGAACATATAGATTTGAGATATCTCCTGTTAATGGTGATGATGGATTTATCATATGTTAGAAGTCTAGGATAGCAGTCTATGAAATATATACATTTATTTTTATACATATTTATATATATTTTATTTTAATTTTATATACATATAAAATCAGCCTGCTTGTTCACCACTTCAGTCTGGGAATGGCTGATTAGTCATGGTCTGTACAGTAGCCTAGTCGACATAAACACAGGTCACACAAGACCCAGCAGAGGAGAGGCAAAATCCAACTGTGTGTCTAAGCTCAGGTTTCGAGTTCCTCTTCCCCTTGAGGCAGGAAATAGATGGGCTCCAGGCTAGACATTTACAACTGGCCTCCTATTCACACTTCCTGGGGTGAGAAGAAGATGGGCTCCAGGCCGGATGTTCATTACCAGCCCCCTGTTTACATTTCCTGAAGCAAGAGACAAACGAGCTCCAGGACTACATATTTATGACTGGACTCCTGTCTATATTTCGAGATCTGCACCTCGATGTAGAAACCAGCAACAGAAATAGGGTAAATAACCGGACACTGGACATTTTTATGGCAGGGACAGAGTGGGACTAAACCCTGTTAAAAGATCAAGAGGTCATACATTTCCCATCGTTGGGGCAAGGGAAACATTGCACATGTGCTGAAAGGCTCCTTGGGGGTCCAAAAGGACCCATAATATGTGATGCTAAGGCTGTCCCATAGGCCTCCGGGCTGTGATCCATCTTGGAAAAAAGTTGCTCACGCGTGTTGGGGAGGGTCCGAGGGCAGGGCAGGTGTGGAAAAAGAAACCAGATAATTGGCCCAAGGTAAACAAAGACCTGGAAGCGCTGCGGTGTGTAGATGACTCGACCACCTCTTTACTGCTCTCCTCCTCCTCACGGAGGACGCCCACCCCCTTTCTCTCCAGGTGTGCGTCTCTGCCTTGCTTTTGCCTTAACTAAACAGTTTCTCTGTGTGCTCTCCCACTTGCTGTTGTGCTGTGTCTTTAATAATAAACTTTGTACCTGTTTTTTTTTTTTAACATCTTTATTGGAGTATAATTGCTTCACAATGGTGTGTTAGTTTCTGCTTTATAACAAAGTGAATCAGTTATACACACATCCCCATATCTCTTCCATCTTGTGGCTCGCTCCCTCCCACCCTCCCTATCCCACCCCTCTAGGCGGTCACAAAGCACCGAGCTGATCTCCCTGTGCCATGCGGCTGCTTCCCACTAGCTATCGATTTTACATTCGGTAGTGTATATATGCCCATGCCCCTCTCTCACTTTGTCCCAGCTTACCCCCCCCCCCCCCGCCCCCTGTCCTCAAGTCCATTCTCTAGTAGTTCTGCATCTTTATTCCCATCTTGCCCCTAGGTTCTTCATGACCATTTTTTTTTTTAGATTCCATATATGTATGTTAGCATACAGTATTTGTTTTTCTCTCTCTGACTTACTTCACTCTGTATGACAGACTCTGGGTCCATCTGCCTCACTACAAATGACTCAATTTCATTTCTTTTTATGGCTGAGTAATATTCCATTGTATATATGTGCCACATCTTCTTTATCCATTCATCCGATGATGGACACTTAGGTTGCTTCCATCTCCTGGCCATTGTAAATAGAGCTGCAGTGAACATTTTGATACATGACTCTTTTTGAATTATGGTGTTCTCAGGGTATATGCCCAGTAGTGGGATTGCTGGGTCATATGGTAGTTCTATTTTTGGTTTTTTAAGGAACCTCCATACTGTTCTCCACAATGGCTGTATCAATTTACATTCCCACCGACAGTGCAAGAGGGTTCCCTTTTCTCCACACCCTCTCCAGCATTTATTGTTTGTAGATTTTTTGATGATGGCCATTCTGACTGGTGTGAGTTGATACCTCATTGTAGTTTTGATTTGCATTTCTCTAATGATTAGTGATGTTGAGCATTCTTTCATGTGTTTGTTGGCAGTCTGTATATCTTCATTGGAGAAATGTCTATTTAGGTCTCCTGCCCATTTTTGGATTGGGTTGTTTGTTTTTTTGATATTGAGCTGCATGTACCTGTTTTTACAGTTTTTGCCTCTATGAGAAATGCATTTTTCACTGGGGTCAAGAGCCAGGGGGTGTGGTGGCTGGGATTCCTGGTTTTCATCCAGGCTACACAGGTTCAGTTCCTGGGCAGGGAATTAAGATCTCGCTTCACGCCACCACTCACCACTGCCTGTCCGAGATCACCCTTGTACACACCCCGTCAACTGCAGGAAGGGAGCTGTAACCTCAGCCACATCTCTGACTCCTGTCATGGCAGGCCAACCACAAAGATCCAATCTGTGCCCGAGTCCCTTGTTATTTAACTAAAGACACCCCAACACATTTAGAAGGCATTCTATCTGTAGGGAACCACCAGCCGTGCTTCGGGTAGAAAGCAAGGCAAGGCTAATGTTATTGTACCGAGTCTCTTGATTTTGTGCGGAAAGAATCCTAGCAGAGCAAACTGCTCTTTACCTCGCATCAACCTTCTGGGTTTGCTCAGCCGCCTAAGCACTGCAGGAACGGGTGGAAATTGCAGAGGAGAGGGAGAAAAGGATCCTAAGATAAAGCCTGGATCCTGGCTGTGTATTTATGTGTCTCTCAGCTACAGGCAACGGCCCTTACACCGACTGCTCTGGAGAGGCAGTGATGGTAACCTGAGGCCAGTGATTGGTAATCTAGGGGTTTAGGCAAGACACCGCCCCCACTCCCCCATCCCCCTTCCTCCCTGCCCAGGGTAGGAGCCGAGCAGGAGTTGTTTCCTCTGACCCCTGCTGGGGAGATTCCCAGATTCCCACTGTCTCCGGGTAACCTAACCTTGACCGTTCCTAGCAGGGGTTATCTAGCATATTCTTATCTAGCAAAAGGGGACGCCCCCATCCAACTCTCCTTTCGCCTGCTTACTTAACACTTTGCCTCGCCACCAACCTCAGACCTGGCCGCAGTGCACTTTCTGTCCTCACTCCTTGACCGTGTTTATGCAGTCGTCCTTTCTAGACAGGCCCTGGCGAAGCCTCTGGAGGGGAAGCCGTAGATCAATTCCTCTTAAACTTGAGCGGGCATAATATTTATCCGGAGGGCTTGTTAAAACGTTGTTGGCCCTCGCTCCCAGAGTTCCCGGTTTCCTAGCTCTTGGATAGAGCCTGATAATTTGCATTTTTAACAAGTTCTTAGGAGATGCCGCCAGTCCGGGACCACTTTGAGAACCACCGCCTTAGATCAAAGAAGGTGCCGCGGCGTGAACTCCTCCATTTCTTTCCATCTCTTTCCCCGGTCCCTTTGCACTTAGGCTATATTCCCTTCTCCGTCATAGACTCTCGCTTTTGGACTCTGTTTCTAGCGGTTCCCTTCCTGTCGCCGGTTCCGAGAGTTGGTAGAGAAATTTCCTGCCCACACCTCCAGTCCTGTGCAGTGTCGCCCGCCCCCCCCCCCCCCCCCTGCCGATGCAGGAGACGCGGGTTTGTGCCCCGTTTCGGGAGGATCCCACGTGCCGCGGAGCGGCTGGGCC